ACATAGATTCTTGGGTGAGGGGTGGGGGTTGCAGTAGGCCTGCCCCTCTTCCCACCTTTTTTTTTGGATAATGTAAAGTTTTAATTTACATTAAATTTTAAGGATAAAAATTTTCAATGAAAGCCTACTTCCCTCATATATGGACCTTAACATCCCACCAAATAAAATTCTGAGTCGGGAGAATTCTTTCTTTTTGGGGTGAGGGAGAGCTAGTCAAAAATCTGTTTTCCGGTAAGTTGTCATTTTTCCCTTATAATGCCTCTTTTTCAAAATTAATCATATATACGTGCCTGACATTTAATTTTTTTTTATTGCGCCTAAAATAGAATTTAAAAAATTCCACAATAATACAACTGGTTATGGTTTTAACCCCGGTTTCTCATTATGTTTGGCTAGTACTTCAGTAAATGTAAACAAGATGGCATGGATTGCTTACTGAGTGTGTGTCATTTAATCAATGAATCATATAATAAAACAATTATTGCTGTTTTTTTTCTTCTGTCAACAAGGTGATTTAACCACCTTCGAAGTACAATATTCCTTCGGGCTCGGTGATTATTGTACTCCTCTGGTGTCTAAATCATCGTATTGACTTCAAAAATTCAAAAACCAGCAATAATTATATATATATATATCTCCAATACACAAGCGCAAGAACATATCAAATCGCTTACGTACTATACATAATATCCCTAAATGTAATGTACCTTTAATCATATGTCTTATCCAAAGGGTAAAAATCCAAATTTGTTTTTTGTAGTTACAAAAGAAGGACTTTATATCAGTTATCATCTAAATGGATCTATGAAAAATATCCTTTGACATTTTCACAAGAGCGAAAGATGAAAACTTTGACAGGACTTAATAACAGAAAATCCCCATAAATCCTAGAGGAGACTTAAGCAGCCATGAATGACAACTAACTAGAGATTGTCAGAAAAGGATAAATATCAACGGTCCATTAGCATAAAAAAACAAAATCGTAATATGACAGAATTTGAAGATGCGCAATTCATACAGTCTCTTAAGTGAGCAAAATATTTCACGAGCCAAAGATACACCATCCTGAAATTTTTTTTAAATGAAATGAAATGTACTTTAAATAAGCAGTATAACTATTATATTATATTTAAAAGTTGGAACTGGTTTAACTAGCTTGAATTTATTTTCATTATTTTGGATAAGTAAGAATTCCAAATAAATGTTATTTATGTATAACGATTGATGAACAACATTTGAAAGTCAACAAAAATTTAAAAAAAATTGTTAGTTGATCCATTAAACGTGATCGAGGATGGGGGTGTATTTGTTCAATCTGATTAAAATCAGATCCTTGATGCTCCTTTTTTAACGATATGTCGCTTGATCCTCGTAAACGACATATCGTTAAAAAAGAAGCATCGAGAATCTGATTTTAATCAGCTTGTGTATTCGTTGTACTTTTAATTCTAAAATTAATGACGTTTAAAAATTCTAAATTTATTTTATCCCTCCCCCAAGAAAATTAAACAAACAAATACAAAGGAACAAACAGCAAACAGAATAAAAAAAACTGCGAATCACTTCAATGCGTTATTGCTGCCTTTGTCTGAGACGCAAGGAGAAATATAAGTTTAACACTAAATCTACACTCTTTAAAAGGCGTCAATTGGTAAGAACTACAAAGTCTAAAACTCAAAATATTGCAAAACCATGGTTTTAACTTCGATTTCTCCGATTCTATTTACATGGTAGGTGAACACTATATGAATCTTTTGAATGTATATGTGGATCATCATTTTGTAAAACAATTACAATTCTTTTCAATTGTTATCGATTCTAGTAAAGTCATCAATAAACTAGCACTGAAAAACCGTAATACTTACACGATAAATAGACACGTGGTTGGTGATATTTGTGGTGGGAAAGTCTTAAACAAGGCCTAGGTATAATACACTTGTATTAAGGTGAATAGGGTCAATTAATTTAACTCTCTTGTGGAGTTACTTAAAACAATGTGAGGTCATCGATTTAAACAAGAAACTATATCAGTACGTAAATAATAACATAAGTAGTTCGTCTTGGATGAGTCGGCATCTTCGTATACTTTGGAAGAATGAACAGCGTTTTACGGCAGTCATATATTGAATTGGAATATCCCAAAGTTTCTGGCGAAAATCTAAGAATGTTAACCTTACTCGTTAAGGAGAAGATCGAGTAAAAATATGCCCTATTAACTGTATCAGATGTTTCAATGACAGACTTGAAATTCCTATTTTTAATTTTTTTGTTTGGTGGAACAAGAAGTACACACTGTGTGTACCACTGAGATATGGATCTTCTAAAACATATTGCTCTTCAAATCATAGAATGAAAAAGGTGAAGAGAAGGAACTGTGATCAAACTCATAAATCCAAGAATACTGATGAACCACTAGAAACCCAGAGGTGGGATCAAGTGGCTAGGAGAAGTAAGCATCCTCTGTCGACCGTTTATCATAGCCGCCATGAGCCCTGTGTACTAAGCAGGAAAATCCACATGATAGTCCAAATGGTATGAAAAGTTAAAAACAATGGCTTGATGATTGGTGGGATATATGTCAGTTAAAATACGACCCGACGATAGGTTCTTTTTGCAAACAGGGTCATTATAACGACCGTAATAGCGAAACGCTGAATTAAAATAAGAAATTTGAAAAACACTGTTGTATGAATTATTTGTCAGTAGCCTGCATCGGTTTAAAAATTGATCGTACTCAAGATTATGCTTTTGAGTATTGAATCAGTTGGGAGACATATTCACCATTTACAGATGATTTTGGAATGTTACATGTACTATATAAATAGGTAAAGTTGAATGGAAAGATGAAGTCATCCCATTTGAAAATATGGTTGTTGTCCATTAACGTCTATAGTCAAAATATCTGCTTTCTTTTACAACTTGACTTGTGAAGAATTCATGATTTAGTTAGATTCATGAAATCATTTTTCAAGAATATACAAGGCCGGTTTCAATGAAAACTTGCACAAAAAATTTAAAACTTCCGATCTTGTCGATAAAAATAGAAATAAGTAAGTCAAATTTAATTGCAGGTTCATAACCTCGGCATCTCTACATTCATTCGTCAACCAAAATAATGCATGAACAGGAGCAGAACACAGTTTAGAGAAATGAATTCGATAATAAATAGATAACAGATAAGTCTTATATGTGACATACATGTAAGAGCGCGGTCGTTCAGGAAATTTCATCTATTCGCTGTAATGTTTCAAGTCTTTTCATTTTCAGGTAATTTGATAATAAATATTCATCAAATCTCCATACCATAATCTAGAGACGAGTATCGCTGAAAATTTTGTATCGCAATATATCACGAATTTTTTCAACAAATATCGCGATAAAATCATAATACTTTTACACGTATGATTTTAAAAGAATTTGTATGATTTTTTTTTAACAAATATAGTGTGAAAACATGACTTCACCTTTTTTCATCTTTATTCATATATATTAATAAAGCATGTTTGGATGTTAGGATGCCGTTGTTTTACTGTTTTACAACATTTTTTTTTAGAATCACTGTATTTGTAATCCAAGAGTTTGAACAAAAACAATTATTTCCGGAATTCATAATTACATTACTAAATACCGGTATTTTAGTCTCCGAATCATGATATGTATCGGACAGTAAAAAATCCCGATATACCAGTATATCGATAAAATCGCAAATCCCTTCCATAATCCATGTTTGTGTGACATCTCGATCTTTGTGATCAAATTAATGATTTTTTGGGGAGGGGGCTTTCGTTTTATTTTTTATTTCAATCAGAGAGTCAAAATTGGACCACACCTTTCAAATAAGTATTACAGAAATAAACAGTGATTCAGAGAAGTAGAATATTTCTCAAAATTAAATCTAATTTTAGTTCCGGACAAGACAGAAACTATATAGCATGACTGCGCAACTTTTGTTAATCAATTTAAAAAAAAATACTTGCTGCAATTTGAAAATATTTTGGCATTTAATCAATACACACCTTTATTATTGAACTGCTTTTATTCAAAATGTGAAATATTTGCCTAAAGGAATACCTAATACAGATGATACAACCTTAAAAGAAAAATGAAATCATGAAATATTTTACTGTATGTCAGCTCTAATGTAATGAGGTTTTGTTTTAGTATGGACCAAGCATCATTAATCAGAAATCACCAGAATCACAAACTGTATATAAAAAGTATTCTTAGAACATTGCAAAGAAACCGTCCCACTGTGTTATCTACTTTTACCAGATCTTCGCAATGTAAACCCTTCCTTCGATCAAAAAAAGAACATCCTGATTTTGATTGACAATTCGCTAGCATTTTATTGTTCAATTATGCTTTCGAACGGCAGTTGTGTTAAAGCCATGTCAGGTCGTAACTAGTTTTGAGCTTCAATTTGGCTGGTAATGGGAATTCATCGTTTGTCGTAAAATTAGTGCTTTAGTTATTATGAACCGAGCTCGTAAACTGTAGAAATATCTCACGTCAATGGTAAGCCTTTGAAAAAATATGTCTGATTCGTATTGAAAGTGGGAATTTAAAGTAGGGATATGACAGTCTGAGTGTTGTTTGAACTGAAAAACAAGACTATTAGTATGGATATTGAACTTCATTTTCGTTAAAAAAAAAACAGGAGAGTTTTACAGAACACAGCTATGATTATTTTTGAAGAGATTTTATTTGTTTCATAAAACTCGCAACAGATTTCACAAAACAAAGATACTGGCGTCATTGTCGTAGCTTAACCGGGATTAAGCCTCAGTCCAGTGTTTGCACAAATGTTATACAAATAATAAAGTACACCAAACATTACGTGTTATGTTCGTGTTTACAATGAATATAAATTGAGACTTGCTCAGATTGCGTAGGTTATGGCGAAAACGATGAAAACAAATTATGAGAGAAAAAAAGAAACATAGTTGAAAAAGTTCACATAATTTAACGATAATAATTCGTTGAATACAATTTTATTCTGTCTTAAACGATGCTTTGAACATCTCAGTACCTGAAGCGAAGAATAAACAGTTGAGTAACAGTTTCCATAACTTAACAAGTAACAATAACAGTAGATAATATACATTATTCAGTAATTATACGATTTCTTGGACTTTTTCAATTGTTCCACGTGGGGTTGACACAAGATACAGGCGTTTTCCACTAGGGATGCTAGGGAGTTTCATCCTGTGCCCAAACACCGGGGACTCGGGCTGTAAACTTGGAATGTAATTATTAGCGGTCACCTGAATGTCTCGTCCAGCTATAGGTTTCAGAGGGCGACGGAGAGCGCGGGGAGACTCTACCCAATCTGTCTGTTGCCTCCTCGTATTTGAAGTGATTGGCTCCCGGATCCTTGGTCCTCTTGATCCTCTCCCACTGTCCCCATCATCCAGTAAACGGTTCATATCGCGATCAAATGTGGACTCCCTCCTAAAGCTGTTTGATATAGGAGTGCTAGGTCTACGTAGATGAAGTGAAGGAACGTCCATTGTCATTTTCATATTGGCATTACTTAAATTTGTATCTCTGTCTAGTAATATGTGTAGTCCCTTTTGATCGCGCACAGAACCAATTTTAACATTTCCCTCCTTCAACAAACACTTACAAAATTCGGGCATTTGAAGCTTTACAGCCAACTCAAGCGCATTCAGACTATGAGCATTTCGAATTTTGAGATCAACGTTTTGCTTGTTTGAGAGATCAACAAGCATGCGCAATGCCAAAAGATTAGATGAATTTATTGAATGCATCACTGCAGTAAAACCATCATTGTCTTGGATGTTAAAATCACATTTTTTATTTCTTGATATTAATCGCACAATGTCACTTCTCTCACATTCCATACAAGCAAACATGAGAGCTGTCTGTCCATTCATATCTTGCGCGTTTACATCAGCACCGTGTCTTAATAAGATGCGTACTACGTGTGTGCGGACTTCGTCATTCGTGCAGCACACTGCGTACATTAATGGCGTTTTGCTGTCCACATCTCGGATATTGATGTCGTCTAATTGTCCTAAGAGTCTGTCTATTTGCCGAACTTTTCCATTCGCGATGGCAAGAAATAGTTTGGCAGTTTCTTTTTCGTCCTCCATCGCGAGGGAACTAATGTTTTTCTGGTATTTCACATAACTTGTCTTCCCCTCCTGCATCTGGATAGAGACAAAAAAAACTTGATTGCAATTAAAGATAATTAAATATACATGTATTAAGCCTCATCCTGTTAAGCGTGAAAGGGTTTCAGCTATGTGAGTGTTCGTGCCTTTCACTATCGGAATGCCTGGCCATGATATAAACAAAGTTTTCGTGTTACAAGAAAGGATATTTATGATAAAGTTAACAAGCTTTAAATATGAAGTACATTGATCCTCTTTCATGTAGCTTTTGTTTCAATTAGACCGGGGTTTTAATTACATGTAATACCTCTGGACATCTTTTTCAATGTTTACGATACTTTCAAATAAAAGATCTGTTTTGTTACTGTAGAAGTGTTCTCGTACGATGATTTGAAAAAAAAAGATGTTTCAGATAGTGTAGCCAATCTCCTTCATTTCAATACAGAAAATCAAAAAAAAAAAAAAAAAAAAAAAAATCTGAACTGTTTCACTCATAATGGAGACTATCCATCGGAGACAGTCTCGAAAGTATTCTATTATATAATGCATAATAACCTTATTCACTCCTTGCAGGGAAAAATCAATGAAAATAAAATAAGCAATCTGAAAAAAAATAAAGATTGGTATCGAAATTTGTTCAAATTTCATTTTGTATCCGATACTTTTCCTCAAAAGTGAGACTTTAAAAAAAAGGAGAGTATTTTTTCGATGCTTTACTGGATAATAACAGGTGCTTAACAACATTGTATTTTAACTTTTTATGCTCAAAGGGGTTTTACATAGCAATAATTCTTGATATGAGTTCATCCTTTAACAATGATTCTGGGATTAATCTTCTATGCCGGAAAATAGAATCATTTCCAAAGAAACAATGATTAAATCAGAGAAATTCTCATCTACAAGATGAATAGTGGGTTCAGCGATCTCTCCTATGGAGGTTAATTATAAGAGTCTGTCACAGCACTATCCAGTTCGTTGATACGCCAGTAGTCGGAATATTCTGGGTCCGTAATCAGGCTTTATTTGGTACACTACGTGTATGTCTACTGTACATCTCTGGAGATATATTGACGTAGGGAGAATCGCCAGGCGCATTATTTATTAAAGAAAGGAAAAGTTTTGCCACTGATGCCGGTGTCTTTCACGTGGTAAATAATGTTTAAGGGTTTCCAAAGACAGATAATATTTATAATCATTATTGGAAGATAATTAAAATAAGAAAAAGATGTATTTAGATTTAGTTATTTGGTATGGATTTAAATCCTGAGATTTATTATTGTGTTAAAACATTATAAAAGTACCAAGAAAATGCGTTTCTTACGCAAAGGATTAATCAAAATGATTTGTTTAAAAATGCTAATGGTGATAAAAAAAATTCTAAATCTCATCTATAAAGTTATTTTAAAAGGAATTAAGAAACCTACATTTTAAATAAAAGTTCAAACAATAAAAGTGTTGAATCCTTATTCAACCAATAATTGCATTTGTGTGTGTGTGTGTGTGTGTGTACATGCAGGGTGTAGTAACTATTGTTGAAAATGCTTAATACTTTGAAAAAAAAAATGAAACGATTCTTTGTACACTTACAAAACTTTAAAAAAAAATCATTCTACTTAAAAAGACATTTTTAACACATTGTACTCGTATACACTGATGATGGCTAATGTGCGTGATTTAAGTACTTACAATATTATTGTCGAAATTAATTTCGTCATCCATTTTCAAGTGAATTTCACAACCGTGTATGAATGTAATGAGAAATTAATTGTATTTTTTTTATCTACAAGCTGTACGTGTAGAATATAAATATACAACAACCGTGCTATTTCATATTCAGGTTTGCAAGTCCAGTGACCTTGTATGTCTCTTATTCATCAATATTTCATTGTCTCTTCTGTACATTGGCACTAACATTCACGTTACTAAGTTATAATTACTAGTATCCTGATTAGGAGTTCTGTGAGGAGCACAAACTTCACTGTTTTGGTGCAAGTAGAAAAATGCATTTTATTTTAGCCGGTTAGTTACATGCAATATTTTCTATATGCCAAGTAAGCAAGTACCAAATTAGCTAAATGACAAAGGAAATGTAGACACTATATTGTTTAAAGAATCCTCATGGCCATCAACCTGGACTTTATGATTTTTCAATAAAACAGCATACAATACATAAACCATATGGTCAAATTGAAATTCAGTCTTTTTAAAATAATTATTTCAAATATAAATCACTTATCGATCAATAAATTCGATATTTAAAATTTCCGAATAATGAATTTTAATCATATTATAGCCATCGCTTGAACCTACCTATTTCCACCATATTCCTCGTGTAATTCCACAATCCAACAGAAAAACTATTTCCAAATCCTGTTATGCATCAATATTGACTCTTGCCAATAATACCTAAAATTGAAACAAATAGATTTCAAATTAACAAATCCCCCGAGTTAGTTCTAACATTTCGGAGAGTCAGTTTATATTTTATGTCCAATAAATTAGTAGGGATATTGAACGGGTTTTGTGTTACATGGTTTGCTCGATATTTAAAATACACAACTGGTCCGAGGCATTGTCCGGTTCTTTAAAAAGGTTCTCTAGTTTGCTCACCATACATCTGATCCTGTACATCGGACTTTTAAGTTATATTTATTAGATTTTCATTCAGATACCTCTGTTTTATTTGTTCTTTTAGAAGATTGGGTTGTGTCCCAAATGCATTGGTAAAGGTCACTCTGACGTCATCGCAATTGTTGATTTTTTTTTCGCTCGCGTCTTTAAAGCCATAATTATAGAAGAATTTCAATCACAAAAAGTCTGTATTAGATTGCTATCTCTTTTGCTCGATGACATGAAGTCTTTTGTGATGAATTCTTCAACATGTATAATTTAATTTTCAATCCTTTTAATGAATCCATTTTTTAACCATGAAAAAATAGCCTATTTTAAGATTGACAATCTTTCAAGTAGTGTACTCATCACCTTATGTCTAATCGCTAGATTTAAATGTAATTCAGAGTTAGTTTTCCCTCCCCAGGAGGGTATTTTATTTGATTGAATGCCAATTTCATATCAATTTCGGGTAGATTTTCAATTTAAAGCCATATGGCTTTGACAGAGACGAAATTGGCTAAATCCTATAAACAAATATTAGCGGAATAAATTACCCAAATCAAATCATGGATTAATCGCCTAAAAGATAAAAAAAAATAAATAACGTAAATACTGATTTTGAGAATAATATGTAATGATGTAATGATTGCTGAAATACTCACCTACCTCATTGTATATGGTTTTCTTTCTTATATATATATATATATATATATATATATATATATATATATATATATATATATATATATATATATATATATATATTTATTGAGAGAGAGAGAGAGAGAGCGGTATGCTATTATCAGCACCACTTACTTTAAGAATAACGCCGTATTAAAGTTATGCAGATTAATATCTGAACAATTTATAATTGAATCTTCGACCTCGAATTATCTTAGTTCATAGTAAAAACGGCAGAATTTGAATGATAGCTTCCTGTAAAGGTTATACATTATGGAACAGTTTAAGCGGTACAAATCAATATAAGAATTTCCTTAGCAGCACACGTACCTGATGTACAAGATACTAGAAGATAATAATTTTATTCCCTCAGTGGTTGGATTCTTTAAAGATGATTGCTAAATCGTAATTCTAAATTTTATCACCATTTTAAATAAAAAAAAATTCAATAGGCAAACTCAAAATTTGATTAACCTTTAATGAGCAAAATTCTGTTTCAGTGTTCAATGCAGCTAGTCAAAGTCGGAGAAGCAAATCCTAGAATATCTAGATTACAGAGCTAGGTTTTAAAATTTCTCTGATCCATCGGACCACGGGCAAATATACAGGTTCAATAACTTTCGTTTATGGCCCTCAAGAAGTTGATTTTATTTGCACATTAATTCTATTTTGCATAAAAATCCCGTGTAATGTATTATCGTTACGGGATTCAAAAACACAAAGACATTTTGCCGTACAAATATTGAAAAGTTCTATAGGCAATGACCTGCAATTGGTTTATGTTTTATTCATAAAAACACTAGTTTGCCGACAAGAATTTTGGATAATTCTCAAGGATGTGCACTTGTTGCCAAGGATAGAAAGTATCAAGTTTCATATGGCATTCTGTCACAAGGATATTATTAAGATATATTGATAAGAATTGAAACAGTAATAGAAACTATAAGTGCATGTGTCCTTCAATGTTCAGAATTTCATACGACAGTTTAATCATTGACTTCACTGCAACTGAATGATTATAGACCTATGCAACTAAACTACACGTGTTTTCTAAAATTGTTTAAGACGTTAATATCCATTGAGAGATAGAGAGAGAGAGATTTAAAAAGATAAACTAGAGTGTTCCAATGAACGCATCTGTCGCATGCTTTGTAACTTCATTAATGACGTAAATCTAAGAGTGGTCAGCTATTTATTACTACAAAAATTATAGTACAAGCATTTGTCTGCAAAGAAAAAACATCCACGACAATGACTGCGACAAAATCTGACAATCAAAATTAATACAAATATGATTCCCCAACCCTGAATAATGAAATCGAAATTACTAATATTAGAAATAATTATTTATCGTTTTATTACAATCCTCCAAAGAAAATTCAGTCTGTCACTGCAATTGTAAGTCGATTTTGGGATACCGATCCAGATGTATTTTCATAGCATGTATATTTTAGTTTGTGTGGTAACTTTATATCATTCAGTTTCAAAGTACAGTTTCATGAGCTCATAAACATGTTTAAATGCTATTTATCAAAACCCACCTCTTAAAATCAAAACAATTAAAATAAACCCTCCAGAATATTTTTTGCAAAGAAGGTCAAAGGTCAAGTGGCCTGCCACAAGTATTTTTCAAAATATTTTATGACAAACAGTGCACACGCTAAATAGCCTAAACTTACTTCTTAAATGTCAGAAATATGTTGTTTATCGGCATTATGAAATGTTTTGAACAGTATGTCTAAAGATTAAAGGTCAGGAGGTCGGTAACCATGGTGATTTACAAAAGCCATTATGTCAAGCAATGTCTGTGCAAAATATCAAATCTATACTTCTTACAGTTCTCGAGATATAAGGTTTGACAAACGGACAGACAGACAGACGCTGGGTAAAGTGTCGCTCTGTTGTGCATAAGTTAAATTTACTCTGTAGTTAGAGTAATCGATGTAAGTAAACCATTTGCTATAAGTAAGTAAATTTAGATATCAATCATTTGATCAGTTTTTTTTTTTTGGGGGGGGGGGGTTCAGTGATAAGATTTGTATTCTCTAAAAACTCATTAAATATTAAAATATGATATCCAGCGACCATAACTAATTCCTTTAAGTCTAGGTACATTGTATATGAATAGAAATCGCCATTCTGAACTTAATATGTCATGTTATGTTATATTTAGACCCAGAAGGGGATTTCAGGACCTTTTCCCTTTAGAATTTTTATTTTAATTAAGGTGGTTACCTACATTAAGATTACTTTGAATCCTCTGAGAAAAGCGTTCTCAAACGTTTTGAAGTGATAAAAAGTACAGAAAAGAATTTTGACCCCCCTTTTCTGTAAGACATGTTTGGTGGTAGGTATTCCAAATAAACAATGTTAAAAAAAACTATTAATGGTCATACTCCTTTTAATATTAAATGAATGAATGAATGAACTTTATTCTCATAACTGACAAAACAGTGAAGAGAAGATATGTACAATATAATAAACAGAAAATATTACATGCCTGCATGAAGAAGGGATAACAGAGTGTAATTATCAACAAAGAGAGCCAACCCTCTCAATTATAATATCTACCAATTTACAAATTTTGCTAAGTTGATTAGTATTGGTTACATTAAAGAGCATTTCAAATTTCAAAACATACATTTGGACTCGATTGAAAATATTTTGATAAATGCATAATTCTTGAGTTCTTTATAGATACATCAGTACATTTAAATAAGTAATGAAATTCATCCCCAATTTCATTGCAGTTACATAAATTACAAATTCTATTTTTCTCTAGGGATGTTAAACTATCTACCAGTCTCATTTGGTAATATTAGAACTACATGCATGTATATTTAACAAGTTGTTGAGAAAAACAATTCAGTATACGTTAACTTGTAGAAAAATAATTTCAATAACCTTTTTGGTACAATTGTTATCAAATGCTGGATTTGCCAGTGTTCGACCTTACAGTAATAAAATGTGTGGGGGAGCATCTAAATGAAAATTTTCATATTGAAACTACAGCAAAACACTATACTCGGAAAAGAGTGCCCCCGCCTCTACGGGCCTGGAGTAAATCTTATAATATTTCAAGCTCCTTCCGCTGCTCACTTTTACTGTTAACTGTTTACTTTCTGTGATTAATATACCAGATAAATTCATTTCAATTTGTAAATTGAACAAGCATTCCGAAAGTATTGCATAAGCAATACTAATCCCCTTCCGGTAAATGTAATCCGGTTTCCCTAAAAAGTGAAAAGGCCTTAATTCCATCAAAAATCATTATAGCGGAACAAAATGCTAACTTGATCTTTGACTCATCAAGGTGGATTCACATGCCAAAAAGCAGCTAGTTCAATATCAGGAATATCTCGTACTCACCTCGGTCTACATTTTCAAAGAGATGCTGTGTGGACATCACACATACAATTAATTCATGAAAAGCTTCAAAAATGTTGAACATTCTTAGAACGCTAAAGTGTAAGGTTGCACGTAAAACACTTGTTAATATATATTTTGCATGAAATATGGAGATAACGAGCAGTATTCCAGCTTATATTCCATTTAAACAATACAAATCGGGAGAAGAGCAAACACAGACCTCCAAAAACATCAGAGGTGGGATCAAGTGCCATGGAGTACGCATTCTCACCGTGTCCTTCTTGCCATGATTGGGTAAACGGAAAATCCGTAGAAATTACAATGTGTAAATAATGGTCTAACAATAAGTTTGAAAAACGTGTCAGCATTTGACCTAATGATAGATTGTATCTGCTGATAAAGTCATTGAATCGACAATAGAACTTGCGAAATGATGACTTCAAACGAGACTGTTTTTATCCTCGTTTCATCAACTTGTTGGTTAATAGCTTGCCTCGTTTTAAAAACTTGATCGTACGTAGAGCATGCTCTTATGTATCGAATCAACTGGGAATCATAAACCCCATATGCGGGTGATAAGGGTATATTGCTGCATAAGTGAGGGAAATTGACGATATGAGAAGTTGAAATCATCACGTTTATCATAGAGTTTTGTCGTTAGGTTACTATTAAGTCTTTTTCTAGTAAAATATCCAAGTAAGAAACAGATGTGTCAGACTCTGTGGTGTCTTTTATTTGAAGTTCACTTGGATATATCAAATCGACATATGAGCTTTGTTATATCTAAATGTCGAGTTGAAGGCCACAGCAAGCGTTTTCTTCTCCTCATGTAGTTTTTTGATAAACTCTATTTCGTATAAATACAAAAATAGGACTTCTACTGACGGCTGCAATTGGAAACCATGGGAATTCCAACAGATTTTGGAAGACCTGATCTCGAAAAACTACATAGATATTGTCAATCAGAAACTCAAGCATCTTTTTAATATCAACTTCAGAGTAATAGTACAATTAGAATGTCTTTT